CTTCAGAAGAATTATTCAGAGCTTTCCTCTGAATGGATACAGTTCTCTTCCTTCTCTGAGGAGAGAGCATTGAGTCAGATCAAGTTCAGTGCTGAGCACTGTTGGTAAATGGCTCTTAGGAAATCATTGTACACGAGTTTCTTTGAGCAGCAATCTTGGCTTAGGCATTTTAGCTATCCCAGTGATCATTCCCAATTGTTTAGCAGCTCTTCACTTGTGGTGATAGTACTTGAGAGTCTGTACAGGAAACAAGACTGAGAGGCAGATCTGATGCAAAACACATTTATAAATGTATGTATGGACAGATAGGGGTGTGTATGTTTATATATATGTGTATGAAACCCATATTAGTCTGATCTCAAAAACTGTCAAAATTGCCTTAGCCCAGTGCTAAAATTGTTAGCCCACTTTATAAATGAAAAAGAATGTGGAAGATATTTTTCTCCCCAGGTATTTTGTGTGTTATAAGGTGGGGGAAGCTCTGCTCAGTAAGCTGCATACTATGACATGAAGAAATAGCTAAATGTACTTTGATTATTGTTATTGAAGGTCAGGGGTTTGTTGCTGCTCTGTGTTTGGCTTTTGGGTTGGTTTTGTCTTTCCTTTGGAAATATCCAAAGGTGTGGAAGTTTTCTAGGGGGATACCTTGTTTGGCTTTTTCTTGTTTTTAATCCTGGATATGGTTCTGCATCAGGGAAACATCCTTGCTGTGAATTAGCAGAGGAATTCTGTGGGTGAGAGCACTCCACAGGACTCTGCCAAAATTCCTTCAGCTACCAAGTATCAACTAGAGCTCTTTTTTTTCCCTTATGGAATAAACAAATTCAGTGTTCTGAGTTGATGAGAGGTAGGCAAATAGCTTCCATATTGCTTTGCTAGATGTCCTGAAGCATCCAGCTGGCCAAAGCAGCTCTTAGGTGCAGATGTTACGTGGTCGGGGCCAGGGGAGTGCCAGACTCTCAGTCACTGTCAGTGATCGTGTGTCACAGGGAAATGTGTGGTTTTCCCAATGTGCTTGCTGCTCAGTTTGTATATAAACATGTGGCTATTTGAGGTGTGGCAGAAAGCCATGGAAAAACAGCAGAGCCTTTTGGAACCCATACCTCAGGTTACCATAGGCTTTTCTCCCTGTTTGCAGAGGAGATGGCTTTTAGCAGATTTGCCCAGGAGAGGAAGTATCTGAGTCCCTAATCTCTGTCAAATAGGCTCTTCCTCACTTGTATGTTTTCACAGTTGTTTAATTGCTTAGGTACAAGCTCAGATACCATAGTGGCTACTTTGGGTTTTGTGATTTCAGTTTAAGAAGTTGAGGATTTGTTCAGGGATGTGCAACCATTTCTCTGAAACACTTCCTTTCTGCACCATGAAGTCTTGGATCCTTGAAAGAACTGACATTTACACTGTACTTGTGAGACAAGGGGGTTTAGTTGTTACCTCACAAAGACATACTGCCTTGTTGGGGCTTTGCCAGATCAGGTTTTTCACCTTTCCACAGTTCCCTCTAGAGAGCCAGGGAAGAGTTGGAGTAGTGAGCAACAGTAGTGATCACCTACAACAAAGTAGTCCCAAATATTCCAATACCTGTGCTAAAAGTGGGTTCATATTTCAGCAACAGGATGGAAAACCCACAACTCCCCATTCCAGGATGTGTTCAAGGCCAAGCTGAAAGGGGATCTGAGCAACCTGGTCTAGTGGAAGGTGTCCCTGCCCGTGGCTGGAGGTTGGAACTGGATGATTTTTAGATCCCTCCCAACCCAGACCAGTCTGTGATTCCATGATTCTGTATTTTATTAGAGTATACCATGTGTCAATCTTCACCTAAAGGATTAATGAATTGAAAAAAAAGAGTGTTTTTTCCTTCTGCTTGAGTGTGTTTGCAGGGTCTGTTTTCTGAGTGGATATTCTGTGTCTGGAGGGATAGGTTTGTAACTATGCTTGATTTGAGGAATGTCTGACGTGTGTGCTGGACCTGTGTGCTTTACTTCTGCATGTGCTTATTGAGACTTTGGGCCATTCTGGATATGGACTCGGTGGTCTTGGAGGTTTTTTCCACCCTAAACAGTTCCATGGTTCTGTGGTTTGGTGTCTTAGCTGCACTGAGCCCCAGACCTGCCTCTGCACTCTACGCAGCTGTGTCCAGACTGACCACTGCCACTTGATTTAGACTTTACAGGCTTTGAACTTCTTAGCATTATCAGTAATTTAAGCTTCTCTAAGACTGTTCTGGAGTGCTTTGTGGGAGAACTTGCCATTCTTTCAAGGAGTCCTTGGAAATAGTTCCCAGCTGGCAAGTAGGACCTGAGGGAATGTTGTAAAGTTGTGTCAGGGGAGGCTTATGTGGGATATTAGGAATAAGTTCTGCCCCCAGAGGTGTTTGGGCACTGAACAGCTCCCCAGGGCAGTGGGCACAGCCCCAGGGCTGACAGAGCTCCAGGAGTGTTTGGACAACACTCTGTGGCACATGTTGTGATTCTTGGGGTGTCCTGGGCAGAGCAGGAGTTGGACTCGATGATCCTTGTGGGTCCCTTCCAGCTCAGGGTGTTCTGTGATTCTGTGATAAGTAAACTTATCACATTTCTCATGATGTCCTCTCACTTTTCCCTGTTCTGGACACTCTGAAGGTCTGTGCTTACCTGCAGTGATGAAATGGCCTTGCTTGGGTTGCACTTTGAGGTCACAGAATGAGGATAGAAGAACGTGAGGCTGGTGAAGGCTGTTGCAGTGTTTCTGGCAGGCAGGGCACAACAGCCTGTGAAGGAAGGTACTTGATCCCTTTGGCAAGCTGGGATGGTGAGGAGTCCTCACATCCCCATTCAGACATGGCCTTGGCTGCAGAGCTGCCTGGGGAGATGTGCCCCTGTACAGCTCCTGCAGAGCTGTTACCTGACCATGGGTAGCTCTGTTTGATGCTGGCTATGCCACGCTCCCTTCCTAAGCCCTCACCCAGCACTGTTTCCCAGACCAGCTCTGCTGAGCTCTCAGCAGAGGGCACCCAGAGCCTTGGCATGGTGCTGCAGGAAGCTGGATGAGGCTCTGGCTTGGCACTGTGCTGCCTGGGGGGGAACAAGGCCAAGTTCTCAGCCCATCTAACCTGGTGTGAGATGTTTTGGCTTAGCTGAAGCAACGCTGCTTTTCAGTTCTTTATTTTATAAGGGGAAAAGAAAAAGTCTTTCCAAAGGATTTACAGCTCTAGATTGAGAAGCTGAGTCCCTGAATGGATGGGAGTAATGGAACTGGTGGGGTTACTGTATGGATAAAGCCTGTTCAGTGGTGGCTTTAGAACAAGGGTTGGCAAAACAGTTTGGAGAGGGTTTTACTACAGGCGTTTGCTTCAAAGGATACACAAAGGAGAATGATACCAGGTGGAGTGGAAGGAGTGGGAGCTCAGCAGGATGAGGTATGTGGAGGAACAGAGTCCTTATAATGGATCTTTTGATGATAGTGTAGTGTTTTAATACATGACATTCACAGATAAATGACTCACAGCCATACAAAGAAAACCTTAAAACCAGTTTAATATTCTAGGAAAGGTTTTTGTGTGATCTCTTGGGTGACTTTCAAACAAATTAAACCCTACACTTAGCAAAAGGCACTCATAAACAGAACTCCCCCAGCAAATGCATGTGTGATTAGAGTAGACCTTAGTGATGGCTCTTGCTGAGACTCCAGTGAAATAAAACTTTCGACTGTTTAAAAAAGGAAAACGTCTAGATTATATGGAAGATAAGTGCATATTAACTTTTATAGAGCTTGGAAAGCACTGCAAGGTCTGCTGAGGCAGCACTTCCCTGTAAGCCACAGCTGTATTAAATTGGCACTGCTGCAGTTTCATGCTTTGCTTTTACCCTGACAGCAGAATTGTTCCCCATTTTGTCCTCTGGGACTCATCTGATCCCTCTGAGTGGTTTGGGGCACTCAGCCTGCAGCAATGGGCTGACTTTTTGTGTCTGTGTCTTTATTTATTTCTCTCTGGCATAGCACCCTGGCCCTGCTCGCTGGGTGGGTCGGTGCCAGCGCTGGCCTGGGCACAGGCAAAGAATGAGGGCAGCAGTGCCAAGGCAGGCTGAGGTGAATGGGCAGGGAATCAGAGCCATAGGAAAACAGCTGCTTGGAATCACATTTGATAGCCACAAGGAAGGCAGTTGTGGGAGGGGCAGAGGGACAGCTCCTGCCTTGGGAAACACTCACACACTGCTGCTCTTACACACCCCAGGCAACCTCAGCCCCATGTCCTGCCCAACAAACACATGGCAAGTGCCATGGGAGCTCCTGCTAGAGGCACTGGGATTGGGGTTGGGACTGGCACTAGGCTTTTCTAGCTAGTTAGAAGGGATCTTAAAGCTCCAGTCCCACCCCTGCCCTGGGCAGGGACACCTCCCCCCAGCCCAGGCTGCTCCAAGCCCATCCAACCTGGCCTGGAACACTCCAGGGATGGAGCAGCCACAGCTGCTCTGGGCACCCTGTGCCAGAGCCTCAGCACCTCACAGGGAGCAATTCCTTCCTAATATCTCATCTAACCCTGCCCTCCTTCAGCTTAAGCCCATTCCCCTTGTCCTGGCACTCCAGACCCTTGTCCAAAGTCCCTCTCTGGCTCTCTTGTGAGCCTCTTTAGATACTGGAAGGCTGTACAAGGTCTTCCTAAAAAAGCCTTCTCTACTCTAGATGAAGAACCTCATTCTGGACAAATCCACTCTTTCTTGGTGCAGCCACATTTGTTTTGGGGATTTTTGTTCCCTTCTGAATCCTAAGAGCAATTAAATATTTGGTCAAAATCAGGGCTGAAAGAAAGGCAACAGAGGAGGATTTATGTGCCTATAAATGTTTGGGACATGTAGAAGTTGGTCATACTGAAATGATAGTAGAGTTGCTAGATTTGGAGTCATAGGATTCAGTGTTGGGGATATTATCCTCAGTCATACCTTTCTGTTCCATGCTTTTAGTTTCATTTTTTTACTACCAGATGTCTTTGATAACTTTGTGTTTTCCTTATGTTTTCCTAGAAATTGGCCCAGTGACCATAACCACAGATCCCAAGAAATTTCAGTTTGAACTCAGGGAACTTTATGTTCAGGTGAGTAACTTGTTGGTTCTCTGAGTGGTTCTGACAAAGACCCTGTGGCCTCCTGCTATCTCCCCCTCTCATCTTCCTCTTCTCCAGTCATTTAAGTATTCTTTAAGGGATGTTGGTCATGCTTTTTTGATCATATACTAGACTAACCCAACTGTGAGTGCCTACAGTGCCATTTTAGTCAGTGGGTGTAGATGTTCAGGGCAGACAGCAGCAGTGTGAGTAGTACAGATGAGCTCAGCCAGCACAGGTCCTTCCAACCCAAAGCATTCTGTGATGATGAGATCTCACAGTTCTGCCTAGCTGCCTTCTGAGAGTGCACTTTTACATTATGGACATGGAGAAGTAGCTCAGTGGTGCTTTTCCTGTTACATGTGGGAAATGGATGCTGCCATATACAACATCACATGAGACAATCATCTAGTAGACTTGAAGTGGCAATAGAGATTTTCTTGTTCCAAGTAGGTGTCTGTACAAATCAGCCATTATTTTGATTCTGCCTACAAATTACAGCTTTAAATTGAAGAGTCTTTTGCTGGACGTGATAGTCATGTTGCAACAGCAGGAAAGAAACAACTTGGATACCCTGATGTGTCCCACAGGGCTGTATAAGCATTGCCAAGATAAAGGTCTGACGTGTGTCAGAAACCTTTTTGGAGAGTTATTTCTTGAATTTCAGGCTGTCTGGAGTCTACCACTTGCTTTTCCCATAAAAGTAAGGCTACATGTAGGAAGGGCTGATACAAGAAGAGTGATGGTTCCTGTATGACTTACAGAAAGAGCAATGGCACTGTGCCTGTGCTTTAATGCAGATGAGAAATGTATTGCTGTTCTTGTCTGAAATGGGATGAAGGATAGTGGTAGATTAAAATTGTTGCCAACATGAGCATTTCATTCAGGACAACCAGAATTCTCACGGATGGAGGACTGTGAGAGGCAAGTTTTTTCTGGTTTGTGTGCCACGAATGTTTAACCTGAAAACATGATTTTTGATGGCATCTCAGGAATTAAAGGTCGATGCAACAATTGAATTATCTTTTTCGCTTCTTTCCCAGCACATGGAGGTTTGTATATACATATGTGTGAAGGCATATTGATTGTAGGAATAAAAGGAATCCGTTTTTCTGTTTGATCTTGAATGTGCAGAGATCTGTTGTAGTTGACAGGGCCAAGTTTTACTCTTCAGATAACTCTTTGGACAGTTCTGTCTTCAGTATGCCAAGTCACTTTTTAGGTAAGTTCAAGTGAGCTTTTACTTACACAGTATTTTTCCCAGCTTCTTAATTTAGGAAGACAACTGATCCCTTCCTATAAAATTAAAGTCCTACTTGGAAGCATTTTGATTGAACACACACTCTGACAAACCTCCAGCTGTGCAGCTCCCCGCTTAGCACTGCAGGTCACTGGGTACACATCCCCTGTGCTCCTCTGCTGCAGTGTGAGCTGCAGGCCAAGTTCCTGCTGCTCTGCTGTCCAAGGATGCACTTGGAGCTTGGCACTGCTTGGCTGGGCTCGTTTCCATTCACATTGTCA